CTTATTATTATAAGGCATTTGATAATTTTAATTACTATTTTGCATTTTTATTGACATTCCACATTCGATTGAATTCGCTTTTGATTTTTCTCATGAAATTGGGATTGCATTATAATCATATTTTATTTAAAGCGTAGTATCATTGATACTTGTGAATTTTTATCATTTAATAATGGTTTAATTGCATTTTAGTAGTATCGATAATGTATTATTTTCATTTGATTTATTAACATAATCGTCTCTCTCTTTCATAGGTGTGTCTGGGTTGTTCCAGTATGCAGGTATCGTCATTATAAGGGTAAGTATGCAAATATTTATTTTATTAATATTTAAACTATCTCTAACTTCTATCATAATTATTTTCAGGTATCTTTTTATTGTCATCGAAGCATTGGTGTGTTCAGGTGTTTGCTTCTTTTTCCAGTTGGTTGGTATATATTTTGTTTTCATATATTTTTAATGCGAAATCTGTGCTTCATAATTAATTAATTATTCCTTATTTTTTTTGTGCTCAGGTTCTCTTTTGGGTTCTGTAGATACTTCGAGAGACGCAGATTGGTGTTTTCCGACGTTTGAGCGTTTCCAGAAGGAATTCATTGTCGATATTCGAATTGTTAGTGGATTTTTTTGTTGTTGATTATAAATTGTTATTGGATCTTCGTTAATAGATGCATTGGAATTCTTCGTGAAAACGTCACCAATTGTATTTTCTGAGTTTAGGGTAAAAGTGCCTGTAGTATTAACTATATTTTTCCAATAAATTTTATTTTAATGGGAATTAGCTTGTTCGTGTGATTAATGATGGAAATCGATCTTGAATTGTATTTACCAATTTTTAAGTCAAAATGCTTCTAGTATTAATTATATTTTTTTACTGAATTTTCATATATGGGCTTGTTTGTTTGAATAAAACTTGAAGTTGATTTTTAATTGTGTTCTACGGATTTCCAATTCAATGCTTCCAGAATTAATTATATATTTTTCGATTAATTTTCGTGTATTGGGAATCGGTTTCTTCCTGTGATTGAACATTAAAATTGTTCATGGGAATAAAAATTAACGTTGGTCATGGGTCATGAACCCGAATCATAAATCGTTTGATCAATCATTTTTTTGTTAATGATAATTCTCTAAATAAAATAGAGAACACGTATGAATACGTGACAATACGGGAACTTTACTATCACAAACAAGAAAATATATTTTACGTGGCTATTAGTCGTATTTTTTTTACCATATAAAAGTTCTTATTTGAATGCATACAGCGTTTTGCCGATTGCCTATATGCATGAAATGTTAACAAAATTACCTCGCGCTAAAATGTTTTTCTTCCTGTTTTTGTGATTTTTCTGTTTTTTTCGTTTTATCATCATAATGTTTGTTTTTCCTTATTCAAAATTTGTTTAAAATAACTTCAAATTTTTTTCACTCTACGAAACTTATTAACTACTCATAAAAAGACAAAGCATTCTTTTTGTCAGGCAGTCAACCCATCCTAGTTAGTATTTTTTTTTATTATTGCTTTCTGCGTTTTCAACTCACTTAAAAGTGAAAAAAAAAGCTTAAAAGCTTTTCTGACTTTTTTTCGTCACGAAACTTTAAAAAAAACAGAAAACCGTCAATCATTTAAGCAGGGCGATTACGAAGGATGACTCTGATCGTTGTCTCTACTTACTTACAGTAGGGCCACTCAACGAGTTCCCCTGGGTAATTAGTGTGTGCTTGTAGGTGGAGAACACATCTTCTACAGAAGAAAACATGCCCAAAAATCTGCCCCATCCACGGAATTGTTTGGTCAGCACATACTTGGCATACATAGTCGAAGTGCTGACCAGCATCTTCACTGCGAGGAATAAAAACATATTCGAATGTCAATGCTGTTTCTTCGCAGTTGGGCATTGCAATACCCCTGCTCTGTCGATGTTATGCCTAGCATCGACACGCAGAGTATCTTCGCATCTTTCGCAGATGCAAATGCAATTACAGGGCCTCGCGATGACAGCAATCGGCTGCTCATGGCATATCATGCATATGTCGTCATACTGTTGATCGCCCTGATCTGCTGAAGAATAAAGATGAATGAGTATATGTAAAAGTCGTAAATCAATCAGTCATAAAATAGTGATTAAGAAGTTAGTATCACCTCTGTTTTCATCATGTTCATTTGGTGGACCAACAACTTTGTGTTCTTCTAGAAACACGAAACACAATACAAGATAGAAACTTAAAGTACAGTATTACCGGGGATGGTAAAATGGAATGGTAGGGCAAAAGAAAATGGCAGTGCAGAATAGAACGTGAGACAAAATTCAACGGTAAGAAAAAAAAATACGTTTAGTTTTTTCCCTGCCATATTGTTTACAGAGTTTGCCTGTTCCACAGCTACGATGACACGTCGACCCTGTCGATGAAGGAGTCTATCCTGATCAACATTGAGTTCCTGCTAGAGATTCAAATCTGGAATTGGATCTCGGAACGGATTATTCAGCTCAGCTGCCTCAATCACGACACCTGGTTCCCATTGCTCCAATACTTGACCCCTTCTATAGTGATCTTGGTAGAGGATATTGGCAAGGAATTGGGTGGCTCCATTAGTGCCGATGTAAATCATTTTTGGCAGTTACGTCCACGGAGCAAGAAAAGATAACGCAGGAGTCGACGCCGTGGACAGGGACGAATTGCGGGTGTCATCGAAAGATTACGAATGGCATATTGATCCTCAGTCCTCAGAATATGAAGATCGTGATAAGCGCCCATCAGAATTTTTACCGTTTTCCCTGTAATTTGAAATAATATTTAGTACTCAAAATGGCCTTTGAACTTCCATAAGGTAGTGATATTATCAAAGTTATGAAAATGCATTGAGAAATGTTCATGAGGGGCAGAGACAAAGAATATAGATTTTCCAGGGAATCACTTTCTGTGTAGTAGCAATATTGATTAACTGGAGTCATTTTCTTGCCCTTAAAGTTCGACAGTGACATAATTTCTGAAAATCGCGAAGAAACCAATTATTCACTTATTTAGCTTTATTACGAATTTCTATGTTTTCAAAGGAATTCACTCCTCAAACTTATAAGAATACTCAAAACTCACGTTAAAAAAACCAAAAGTTTGGTTCACGCTGCTGGTGAACTTGATCGTACAGTTGTTGGGGGCTGCGAGTGCCTACATCTTGAAATAAATCAATACGATCGAAAAATGCAGAAAATGGCTCGTTCTGTGGGCTGATAAAAACTTGGTAATACCAATTCATCATCCCCTCAAATTCCTGTCCATAATTCATTGCATTCAATGCATTCTTCAGTAACCAGAACATGAGCCTTTTCATA